GAGCAAAAGTCCCATTGGTATCACCAAAGCCCCAAGACTGGCAAAAACCCCTCAAAATCTAATCAAACGAGCCCAAAACATAAAAAGAATCAAAGCAAACAAAACCTTCATGCCTTTTTTACACCTTCCAGTCAAGCCCCTAAATCAGTGTTTGAAAACCCTATAGTTGTGGAGGATGACAATGTTGTTACAAGCCTATTGGTTCCCAGTCTGCAGTGTCTATTGTGAAACCAGTACTCATCCAGTCAGCCAGCAATGTTGAAAGTTCAAATGTATTTCACTCTGCAGTCTCCATTGTAAAACCAGTAATTATCCAGGACGTTAGCAATGTTAAAAGCTCCAATGTAACCCAGTATGCAGTCTCAATTGTGAAAGCAGTGCTCATACAGTCAGCCAGTATTGTAGAAAGTTTAAGTGTATCCCAGTCTGCAGCATCTATTGTGAAGCCAGTGCTCATCCAGTCAGCCAGCAATGCTGAAAGTTCAAGTGTATCCCAGTCTGCAGTCTCTGTTGCAAAACGAGTACTTGTCCAGTCAGCCAGGAATGTTACAAGTTCAAGTGTATCCCAGTCTGCAGTCTATTGTAAAACCACTAGTCCTCCAGCAAGCTAGCAATGTTGAAAGTTCGAGTGGACTGCAGCCTGCCGTTTCCATTGCTTCAAATTGGATGGAACAAGAAGAGGATTTTTAGCAGAGCCCTCCCCAAATAAAACTCACCAGGGAGGGCAGTTTCTTCATATATTTGAAAGAGATAAATCGAGAAAGCTCTCTGATGAAAAAACAGTATTGGATGGCATTGAATCACAATTTGAAGGTCTCTTTCTGGAAAACTATGTACTTGCTAGAGAAGCATATTGTGCAAAATATCACCAGCAACCTTGTCAAGACTGCCTTGGAATGTTTAATGTTGCAAATACAATTGTAAGAGTGGGATTTTGGAAAATGAAGGATGCGTTTCGTTGTTTAGCGGAAAATATACAGCCATGCAATGTGTGCCAGAAGAAAATTGGAACCGATAGAAATAATGAGCAGAGGTGTAATAAACCAAACCAGCAACCAGATCCAGTAAACATGGAAAATTACACTTCTTTCCATGCAAGAAGAAAGTTTTTACAAATGCCAATTGCAGCTCTTTCGATTGAAACTAATAAAAACCAATCAGTTATATTTTTGGTGGCAAAGGGCTCAAACTACAAAATGCCTACAAGTGTTCTTAGCCAAATCCATGTGTCCAAAAGTTACAGCAAAATAGCCCTCTTCTGACTAGAAATAACTTTAACACACTTCTCCACGTGTGTCAAACAGACGCAGAAAGAGAAAGAATTCGATATGTTGTGGCTGAAACATCTGGTTTATCCCAACAGAAATTGTCCCAACAATTTGGAATTTCGACTGCATCAAGCAGGAAATTTAAAGTGGAGGCTGCATTGTCAGAAGCTATGGATATAAGAGAAAGTATCTACAAACTAAACTCTATCAAAGAAAAACAATTTTAATGTCATTAGGGATTGATACATCTTCCAATGACTCTGATTCCACAAATGATAGTGATGCCAGGAGTGAAACAGATTCGGAATGTGAAACGGTTGTTGAAATGAGCGATGCCCAAGTAGATTTTAAGAAGGAGCAGGAATGTGTTTCAATTTCGGTGGACAAAAAGACACCTTGAGAAACCAACAATTGTCCAGCTAGTGACCAGCAACCACAGTGGAGGAAGTAATCTAAATAGAGTAGAATTGCAAAATGGTTGCGAGACGAAAGCTCGTGCTGGTCTATTTGTTCCTTCTACCTTAAATGGATCTTACCTGGACGAGTCTGGAAAGCTTGACAATGAGAAACTTGCCTGAAATCTTGAGGGTGCAAGTAGCACTGAATATCAGCTTCTCAGAGAAAAACTATCGAAATATCTATGTGTTGGTAAATCCCAAAAGGCTGCTTTGAAGAAGGAACATTCTGACTTCAAACTGATAGCAACAGTTCTCGATCTATGTGAGCGCTACATGAACAAGACGGTACCTTCCCATTACATATTTCATCTGGTATTAATACAACAGTCAATATCGGTATGGAGAAAGCATGGTTATCGGGTTTTAGTATCAAGAGAACAATCGATCTGCTTGGATTTTGTATTTGTATGGATGTTGAATCTAATCCAGGCCCATGAACATAAACCCACAGCTAGAATGTATTAGCGAGGCCGTCTGCACGAAAAAGTCTATTAAGTATGCTAGAAGGGATTTATTTAATTTCAGATCAATGGTGCCAAATCCAGAAAGTCTCGTTATTGATCTTTTGAAGGGACTTAAACTTTTCAGATATTGTGGATTACGAGCAGGAAAGAGGCGCTATGAAGTATTGAATAGAAGGCAATCAATTACCGTACTCAATTGTGTTAGTACAGAATGAGCTGTTTTTCTGCTCCTAAGTGGCAGATGTCAGGAGAATTTGATTTCTATTGTCAGAAATACATTACCTGATAAACGTAACTCAATCACCGACTTCACCATTCCTAAATTTCTATTCACAAATATTTGTAGCTTAGTAAAAACTAAAAATCGAGTTAGAGCAGCAGTTGCTCTTGAGTTGGATATGAACAGGAATGATGTTGACAAAGGTATTGTATCGGAAACGCATCTCAAAGCAGAGATTCCAGATGGAGTGGTTTGTATACCTAATTATAACATATTTAGATGGGCAGAGATTTAAGAGCCAAGGGTTGAATAGCGATATATGTGAGAGAGAATTTGGATGCTGTTAATATCTACAGGCAACCTCGTACCCAGGGTCTTTTACCTACGCTCCACGGCCCACGCTGCGGCAAAGACCCTGGCAGAAGCTGGTCATGTGACCCCTAGATTTTGGGGGTTTCTTGACTATTTTAATATGGGAGGGGTAGTTGGGAAGTGTATTTTGTATTGCTTTAGTTTTTGTATAGTTCACTGTTTTTAATACACAAAACTTTATATTAATATTTGCAATATTGTGAGACAAAATGTGTGAAAAACCTTGCATCATGTCTCTCTACAATCGTGGTATTAGATTACAATTCAAAGCAAGAAGTTGGATCAAATGTCAAAATCCTATTCATTTATACTTGCGTCGATGGCTAGTAAAGACACGCCTAAAAAGTTCTATAAAAAACGTTCGGAATCGACGGCAAATACTTCGCGTTGCAGGCTTTGCAACAGTGTTACTGATCCAAATCATAGTAAACGGGCCAACAATAAAGCAATTCTTCGAAACGTTGAGTCATTTTTTGGCAGCGAATTAATTGAGCACGTCGAGCTTCCTCGCTTGATATGTCGGCCGTGTGAGCGAAGACTTGATAACGTTGTGCAGTTCAAGAAAGTTATCGCCGAAACTCAGAGTGAGTTACAGAAAATTGTAAGAACAAAACGGTGTCTTGACGTATCACCTTCCGTGCTGAAACCACCCGTCAAACTTCGTTCTGCTGGGGATTTGCCACGTCGACGAAGTATCGATTTCGGCAATGTTGCTGAACAAGAAAATGTCATTCCTGCTGTTGCGTTATCGACTGTGAATGTAAGTACTTTATAAAACCTGAAATTTTACATTGTATATTTGTATAGGCGCAAAACCTTGCCAATTTTTCTTTTAGGAATATTTTGCGCTATATTTACGCAAATTATGTATTTTCATTAGTGATTAATTCATGCATGTGTAATATTGTAAAAAGGTTTCCTTCACGAGATTGTTAGGCAAGCTGATGAAGCAAACCAATCATTCATTCACTTATATTATAGTTGGCAAGTCATAAGATGTTTCATATAAGTAATAATCAACAAATCTAAAATATGTGGTAACGTGTTTTGATACTAATATCATATATTCATATTAAATTTTAAGAATGAAGAAATCTTGATTGAGGCAGAAAAGGAGCTTATAGAAGTTGCTAGGAGAAGTGAGCCATCTGTCCTAAGAGAAAGGAGCTTTGATGGTCTGGCAGACATAAGTTGGGTTACAAAAGTGCTTGAGGAGTTGTCGACCAGATGCCCAAGAGTCCATAGGATTCTATGTAGACTATTTGATAGCACCATATACAAAGAAAAGAAAAGTTATGCCATCTCCTTTGTGTACAGCATCATTATGTTTTTACGGTGCCATGAATTGAGTCGAGTTCAAAGAATCAATTCAGTTTTGCTAATTGAAGGACAAGCATCTGGAAATGTAAGATAAACTCATTCTTTCTGATTTACCTTTATGTGTGTGTTGACAATTGACATAATGTTATGGTAAGTTGTGCAATAGAAATGAATATTTAGTCTTATTTATATTCTGCATTATAGCTGGTTACACGTTTTCACAAGTATGGTATGTGCCTTGAACCATCAAGCAAATACAACATCCTGGAAGACATTGGCAAACACTTCATTGATCGTGCTGCAGAGTTGGTGAAGTCAGGACGTTCATTTGTGTATGTCTTAGATAACATTGACTGGGAGGAGAAAGCCCATGACATGAGGCAAAATGTGCAAAATAGAAGTGTTCATGCAGTTGCAACAAGTATTGTATTTAACCGTGTTTCTGATGAAGGATTGCCCGATTCTGGTCCACAGCAACGACTGAAAGATTGCAATGTTCATGAGTTGGTGAATATCAATCCACTGGAATTGAAGGCAATTCGAAACCGGTATACAATACTTGTTGCTAATATTCTGTTTGAATATTTCCCCTATTTTGGAGCGTTCAGGCAGTATCTACCTAAAGCCACAAACTGTGCATACAAGAGTGAGATGGAAACTAAGTCGGAAGTGTTGACAATGCCGGTTTTGATGAAAGACGAGAAGAAGTATGCAGAATGTGTTGATGTCTTAGATCAACTTGAAAAGTGGGCTCATCACATCTATGAAGCTGCAGGGTTATGTTCACCACCTCCCAGTGATGTCCAAGATGCTACTCCCACCATTGGAACCCACTCCAGACCTGACCACCTGGATCCCACATCCCTCCTGTAGAAACTGATACTGATCCACTGTGTGGTGTGAAAGTTCCATGCTTTGGGGATCAATTGACAAGAGTCAGATTTGCAGGGGCAAGAGACTTAAGATCAGGTTGTCACACAGCAAAGCAAAGACTTGATCATATTTATCCTTTCTCTATTGTTGACTGGCATACAAAGAGGAGCTTTTTGAAGGTATGTATGACTACAATACATGTAACCATGTAACTTCATATCTGCCATAATGCAAATTAACCCATTTGAAATATTATATAAAATTGCCAAAAATGAGTAAACCTTTTCCATTTAGACCATATTCAAAAAACTCTACAAAAACTCAGGCAGAGAGAAAGGTACACTTCGATTCTTTCGTGAGAAACTGAACCGAAGAAATGTTACTGTAGACGTGAAGCACTATGAGGATTGTGAACAACTGTTTTTCAGTATTGGTAAATGCTATGTTGTTGAAGCTCTCATGGAATTTTTTCAAATGGAAGACAGAAAGCACGATCCCACTGCAAACGTTCCTCATAGTGCAAGTGTTTCTGGTGATGAATATGGAAAGCAGTATATTTTTCAAGTTGTTGACAAGTTTCTTGATGAGTTTGTTTTCAATGAAGAAAAGAGTGATGATTCAGATAGTGTTTTGGATGGGATTTCAGATGATAGTGCATCAAACGAAGTTGCAGATGGTGTTTGGGCATATGCTGATAACTTGCTGAAGTGCTTCATGTTGTTAGCTGACTTCAAGGATGCTGTTGCTACTGGCAATGGTGAACACATTTTCATTCTGCGTAAACAATTATTAACTCATTTCTTCTCAACACCTGGCTTTAATGACTTTGCAATAGAGATGTTAATTAACATTCTTCAAACAGAAGTGTTGCTTTCAAAAGCTGAAGCTCATCGTTGCAAGTGGGCAGCAACTGTTAACTGGAAAGGTGGTGCTGGTCATAACATAGAGATTGACCTGTTTCAGGTAAAGAATCACATAGAATCTGACTATATTTTGAAAACCGTCTATCTATATACTACATTATGTATGCGAATATTAACATCTGTATAAAGCTATACCATGCATACTAATTAACTTAATTATACTAATTGACAATACTATAATAACATAGAGATTGACCTGTTTCAGGAAAACAGAAACTGTGAAATGAAAAAGTTGATAAGGTCAATGGGTGCCAATAAACAGAGAAAGCAATAAAACGAGCAAGCAAAGCATCAGGTGGAGTGACTGAGATTGTGGAAGCATTTGAGGCACAAATGAACATTCATGCTAAGTCAACAAGCCATACTCACAAGTCTTCAACTGATGATGAGGCCATAGTTGCAAGAGACCTGAGAAGTTTAAGGCCTTTCAGACAGGAAGAGGAAAGGAAATTTGAAACATTTGATGGCATTTCTCACAATCCAACACACTTGTTAGATAAAGACAAGTTCAAGGAATGGATGGAACGACATAAGAACAATATATTAATCCACTATCCTGTAGCAGAAGAACCTCAATAGACCTTTTCAGGAATTACCAGTACATGTCACAAATGCATAGAAGTCAGACAGAAGACAATGGTGAATGTGCACATTGGCATTATTATATTATAAATTGGCATGAACCATGCAGTTGTGAAATAATTACTGAAAATGTATATTGTGTTGTCAAACTGTGCTAATATGCAGCACCATATTCTAAATGTCATTACTGTCAGATTTGATGTTTCAATCAAGTTTTGTCAAACCGGTTGGAAAATTCTTTTATAGGTATCATGGTTTTTATCTTTATTCACACACACTATGATTTAAGCACTCTTACAATTAACAATTAACAAACAATATGCATGTTTGATGCAGTACTAGTTTGTTGTATTTGACTTTATCATTGTTGGTCCTGTAACCCTTCACATTTGTGCAGGACAAATTTCATTTAATTAGATGTAAGCCAGGATGCTGTAAATATTTTCTACATTTTCACCTTAATTTGCAGTCAATAAGATGTAAACACATAATACAACAAAACAATTCTATGATGTCTCTTTCATGACCAAACATTTGTCTCCAACTTAATGTTTTTACATTAATACTTGCAAGCAGCTGGAACATTTACAGTGTTTCTTACAGGAGCCACAACAAAGATGCAATGGTTTTATATAAAAGTCTTGTTCATAATCCAGTGACATTAGCATTAATTTTCTGAGGCATACATCAGAACTGGCACAAAACTCACGCATATCATCTTGCATCCCCACTTTGTTCTTTGCAATGTCTCTATTGCAGTAATACAAATAAGCTGATGCAGGCTGTCCATCCCTGCCAGCACGTCCAGTCTCTTGGAAGTATGCTTTTACAAAGCATGGAGGACCAATATGTACCACCTGGTGGATGTTAGGCATGTCCACCCCCATCCCAATAGCTACTGTTGCAAATACAACACGGACAACACTTCTTCCAGAACTAAGTTGCATCAATATTTCTTTCTTCATTTCTTCTGTTTGGGGAGCATGGAATTGTGCAAACAACCTGTTTGCTGGTCTATGTGAACCAGTAGGATAATATTGCTCACTGCCAAGAACATGTTCAAACAGTTTGTATGCAAAACCACACAAGCGCAATGGAACATATACAATTGTTAAAGGAAATTCAATCTTTTTCTTTAACAGGGCGGTAGCAATTGGCATTAAAATTAAGTGGATAGTATCAACATCTTTCCCACTTTGAAATATTTTTTGATAAAATATATTTCTTCTGTCAGGGTTGCCAATTATACACTTCACCTTTTTCAACCCCAATGAGTCCCCGATATATTTTATATCAGTTTGACTTGCAGTTGCTGTCATTGCAAGAACTGGGACGTCTGAAAAAAGGTCACAAAGCACTCCCAACTTGCTGTAATCCTTTCTAAAGTCGTTTCCCCTAAAAATATTCAAATTGAAAAATATTAGAATTTTAGTCAATGCAATATTCAAATTGATAAATCCATCCTAAAATGTTAACTTTGGCAAAGGACGAAAATGCTTTAAAAAACCAGCTTACCTGAGGCAAATGAGAAAATCACCTCCCGATCTTTGAATTAAGCCATTCACGTGAAAAGAAGAAGCGACTTCTTCCTCGAATATATTGAACAGGGAAAGATGAAATGCAAAAATATCTTCCTTGAATATATTGAACAGGGAAAGATGAAATGTGAAAATATATATCTTTTTAGATGCAATGTGAAAAAATAGGCCTGTAAAACATTATTAACTGCGATAAAGCTGCTATAGTGGCAAGTAAATATCAACTGATGCAATAAAATATTATTTTCTAATCTTATGTTCTAATCCCATAGACAAGGGAATAAACCCCCTATAGTTAGCTGGTTGAATACAGTTATAACGAAGTCAATTTAGTACACAAGCTATACATTATAATATTTTATTGTACTAAATACATTTTAGACAGATCAAAACATATATAAGTATTTTTACAAGAGATAGGAAATGAAATTTTTGCAGAAAAGGTGAAGAGAACAAAAAGACAGTAAGGTTCCGGGATGGTGGCACACATCATCTGATAACATAAAGCTTAGTTAAGAAGAAGAAAAAGAAGGTTTCAGACTTTTTCAAATTATTTCGTTTTGATGTCCTTTGATTATCAGCATGTCTTTGTTACATACAAGATTGGTTATTTTGTTGATAAATCAATGTTATAGTTATGTTAATAGTCAATAAAGGTTAAACGTTATTGTTCCAGTAAGATTATACCACTTGTTTTCCAAAGTTTATTGGCAATACGTTCACCATTATAACTGAAGATGATAGTATGTTTTCATTGATCCAGTAGAAAGGTACAGGTGGTTTGCAATGTTGATTACAGATAACTTATCAGCATCAATTAGCTGGACACAATAGCACCAGTTCGTAGGTCCAAAAAATCTGTGTGGCTTTTTTCAAGTTTAAATTTATCAGTTGACAATATCTTATCACTGTGGTAATCAGTCCAACAATCAGTCAACATTGAATGCCATCATTCGTCATTGATATAAATGTGGATTGCTCAGTAGTAGTTACCAGGAAGGTATGAGTAGCATTTACCAGTAAGGCTACCAGAAAACTTTGTCTTTGTTCTTGTTTATAGTCACATATATATATATAACAAAGAGTCCAAAATTGTTTGAAACATTTCAGCATAACAATCTGAACAATATTTTAAAGATTTTTGTTTAGTTGAAATGCACTTGTGTTAAAAGTTTTGTTTTTTAAAAAAAATATGTTTTGTTAGTTATGTTCAAATAAATGCTTCTTTTTAAACTCCAAAGCATTCGGCTTAATAGCTGCATGTCCACAAGCAAGAAATTGACAAGTGAAATAGTGCATTATAATTTCTAAAACAGGGCAACTTGTTACTACCATTTGCCAAATTATAATTTATAAAACAGGACAACTTGTTACTACCATTTGCCAAATTATAATTTATAAAACAGGGCAACTTGTTACTACCATTTGCCAAATTATAATTTATAAAACAGGGCAACTTGTTACTACCATTTGCCAAATTATATTTTTCAAAACAGGGCAACTTGTTACTACCATTTGTAATAAGGTAATATATTTGGTTTAATAGCTGCATGTCCACAAGCAAGAAATTGACAGGTGAAATATTGCATTATAATTTATAAAACAGGGCAACTTGTTACTACCATTTGCCAAATTATAATTTATAAAACCGGGCAACTTGTTACTACCATTTGTAATAAGGTAATATATTTGGTTTAATAGCTGCATGTCCACAAGCAAGAAATTGACAGGTGAAATATTGCATTATAATTTATAAAACAGGGCAACTTGTTACTACCATTTGCTAAATAAGGTAATGTTTTATTTATTTTCTATTAGTGTAACTTTGTAGTTGTAGACTCAACGCTCACCAATCACCACTTTTTCGTCTTTAAGTACTCAACTTCGCTTTAAAATTTGACAAACGTATTAACCTGACTTCGGTTGCTTCCGTCCTTCGAAAACAACGAAATTTTCAGGAAGTAGAAGAACCATCATTCGTCATCTTTCGTATATCCGACGATTACCGAAGATGTGGCACCCACACACACACAAACATCCGGACACTTTTTCGACTACATAGTGGTTAGCTGCGCATGCGCAGGCTACCCACAAAAATATATGGACACAGTTTTTGACTTTGTATTACAGTATGTCAGTGGTAACTACCATGAGTAAAAGAAACCATGTGGCATCAGCAAAGCCCAAAATCTGCCATCTTTTTGGTGACACGATCTGGCAAAGAGCAAGTCCTCTCCAGGAATTTAAATTTAAATATAGCTCAATGAGTAAAATCATCCCTAAAGTGCCAAATATTTTGAAATAAGGACTTAAAAGGAAAGGACTGGTTTGTAATCATCTTTCTGGTCACGAAGGAAATTTTGTTGACAACATTAGCCGAGAGGAATCCGCGCTGCTCATTTGCGAAATGTAAATAGCTTTCATAATTGGGAGAAGATCCAATGTTGATAAAAGCCAGCTTTGAAGATGCCAGTATGCTTGACAATGCTGTTTGCAGCAGTTGTTTAAAGTGCCTATATCACTTGTGGGATCTTTACGGATTTGAATAGAGCTTGAAAAATTAGTTTATAAGTTCTACAACCCTTTTTGATAAAGTTAAATAATTTCGGAAATATTTACATCTAAACATGACGATTTGCCTAAATTTCCGTCGTCAGGAACCGAGTTCTTGTCAAACATAATATAATCAATTGTAATTTTACTTCGATCTTCCAATAACTTAAAATATTTTGAGAAAAACTTGCCCAGTTGCTACAGCCATACACAACGCACCGTTCCCGCATTTTTTTCTTGAAAAGCGCAAACTATATCGCCAGTGAAACTCTTCATGTTTACATTATAAAGGACGGCGTGTTTGCAAATCATTCCTGAGTCCCAGTCCCCCCAACCGACGTATTTTTGAAACTATTTAATTATATCAAAAAAGGTTGTAGAACTTATAAACAAATTTTTCAAGCCTTATTCAAATCCGTAAAGATCCCACAAGTGATATAGGCACTTTAAACAAAGAAGCATGCATCTGATGTCAATATTGTGGTGCGGAACAATTCTTTTGCAAGGAATGTGCATTTGCATTACACAAAAGTAGAGATCAATTTCAGATGTTGGAAAAGTGGGTGGTGAGCTAATAGTTAACGTTTTGCCTTGATACATGTTACTTTATACAATATAACAATAAACAAAATAATGAGAATATTTTTCTGTTTTCTAGGAGTGTAGGTTTGTCCCACTTTTTCCAAATCACACATTAATTGATTCAGGTCATCAGTGCAATACAAAAGTGTCCAAGCTATTTACACAAGTGGAAGCATTTGGTAAGTTTGTAATTCTTGTCTGGGTTTGCTACTAATCAGATTGGTATGGGCAGAATGGGTCAGAGTTTAAAATCCTCCCTATAGCCTGAAAAGGACCTAAATGGAACCATGGCTGATGGTCCTGAGCTTGTTACAGACATTGCTAGACATCGCTTTTAAATAATTAGGCTTTGAGAGGACTCTCTCTCTCTCTCTAAATTAGTAGCCCTTTCAATTCCTTGTGGCCAATTCATTATGAGCCAAAGTTTTTAATTATAGCTTCCCTCCCTGCAACATGGCTTTTTAGTGCTCTTTCACCATTATCACAAATCCTGAATAATAGCAAGAAATTTAATTTCAATTGCCTAATTGGTAATCAGCACTTAAAACAAGTGTCAGTTTGTAACTGTGAGAGCCATGCTTGTTACACTTATCTGAGCTCATTTTTGGCCTGGATCTCCTGAGAGGCCCTCCATTGGGTTTCACCTCAAGTTGATGGATTTGGCTGAAAAGTTATTCCTACACAATCAAGTTCCTCTAAAAGATTTCTGTGATCTAATAGGAGAATTACTACCATCAATGCAGCCTGTTCTTGTATGTATTGTATATCTATGTCCATATGCCATTACTAATGTGCATTCTCTTGACTAGAGGTATTTTCTGAACCTTGACAATTATATTGTATTGCAATTATATTTCTGAACCTTGACTTATAATTTCTGAACCTTGACAATTATATTGCAATTTAGGTTAAATCTTTATACAGAACACTGAATTCTGGGTCTTTTGAGGAGTATAGGTATGGTACTGCAGTTCATGTTTACAATATATACCATAAAGGTGTGTATGTGTTATTGTTGTTTACAAATGCTGAATATACTGTACATGTTGCTAGATTTTGGCTAAATGTGAGATTGATTTAACTGTGGCAATGATTTAAAAGGAGACACTAGAGATTTTATCAGTTCTATTAATGAGCACAAGCCTTATTAATGGCACTAATAGACTGACTACATTTACTGTAAAACACAGCTCTCTTCTTAAAATGCTCCTTGGGAAGCCTAGTAATTCACTTTCAATTTATTATTTTTATTTAAGCTATTGCAAATATAGATGAAGGTATTTGGATTGTTACATTCCTGGATTGTATAATGGTATAACTTGTCCCTTGTGTATAAAGGTAAGTACCATATACAGTATAATCAACTGAGCTACTACATATGATTAAATTTATTGTATCTATGTTAGATTATTGGGTCCTGCATTGTGCACAATAAGGTTACATTCATAATATCTTTAGGATAAAGGAACCCTTAGTGAATGTGTGGATGCATGTTTCGGCCGGGCAAGAAGTAAAGGAAGAGGGGATACAAGTATCTCATCAAGATATGGAACATTATTTAGTGACCAAGATGACATTGATAATTTTGTGGATATGAGCATACAAAAGAAAAATCAGTTTAACAGGTAATTATCAATTAAACCAATGGGCCATTCAAAATCACCTTTGACCAAAGAGATCACATGGGAGTCATTCACCAAACTACAACAATCCTCACTTCAGAGCGTCCTAACACAACCATCAGAGAGCCACGTTAACAAATCTGGACCACTTACAACCTTGCAACAAATAAATAATTGGGATCACATAAACAAACAATATGTACAAAAAATACTTTAATTAATGGCATGGATGGCAGACAACAACCTGACCCAACATAAGCACTTCATCTGTGGCCTCCATACAATGCCGGCCATAAACGTATAGTTGTACAAATAGTTATCTCATAATATTCAACCACCATCACCCCTCATCATCCCCCGGATCCATCAAACTCTCCCCTGGATCCATCAAACTCTCCCCCTATCCTCACCAGTGCTTCCACCATTATCATTATTATTATTATTATTATAAGCTTTATTTAAAGAGGGTAACATTTTACAGTAGTAAAGAATACACTGAGAATGTCATGGCCCTTACCTATACTAAACGAAGCTAAAATAGTTTTAAGATAAAATAGTTACTATTTACAATTTAATAATTAAAACTTATACATTGAAGATCATGGTGGATTTCTGATCATTTAAATATGATTTGTATAAATTGTACTTGAAACTAGCTACTGAGTTTTTCTTCCCAATACCTAATCATCCTCCCTCAGTCTTCCTAGTGTATTTTGGGGCCCACGGTAATGAATGATTTGCCGGTTGCCAGACCCCGATATTTTCGCGTGGTTAGCGCAATGAATCTTGGGATCGCTAGGGGGCAAATAAATGCATTGTTAATGGCGTAGTGATGAAGGTGATCATTGCGCTGTTTTCGGCTGTAATAACGATAGAAGTTACCCTGAAAAACAATTTGTTTGCTCCCACGTTGGAGTGCTAAGATTTCACTGTCCGCGTAACGCAAAAGAAAGAGCTAAATGGCAAAATCTTATCAACAGAAAGGATTTTAAAGTCACCGGTAATACGAAGGTATGCTCAAATCATTTTGTTGCCGGGTATCGTTGCAAGGAATGTCCAAATCCTACCCTTTATATGAAAGGATACAAAGTTAAAAAAGACAAGAAAAGATTGCCACCTAAACAACGACGTGATATGCCTCCACATCCCAGAAAACAAAAGCGTGAAGTCAGTGAAACACAAGGTGATGGAGAGGAAAACCGCTATCAAAATGACGATGACACAATGTATTACAATATAAGTACACTTCACGATGACATTACCAAACACGAAAAAAGTTTCAGTGATGTTGAAAAGAACGTAACAGTTAAGATGGAGCAACAGTCGCATGTTTCACAGGCAAGTGACTCCCCTTTGTTTGAAGATGAGGAGGAAGCTGGGGTCTAGAAGATGAATGTATTTGCAGTGGTGACATTGGTAAGTTAAAGAGAAGGCTTTTTACTAGTCAAGCAACAGGTCCAGCGAAGTGCTATCGGTACACTGGGCTGTCAAGGGAAAAGTTGGACTTAGTGTTTAGCTTTGTAAAAGAAAAAGCTAAACATTTGAGGTATTGGAGAGGTTCTATTGAAACCCCCTGTTCCCAAGAAGTTAAAAGGGGTCATGTCCCAAGACTATTGACACCTTTTGAAGAGTTTATTCTCACCCTCGTCAGAACGAGAAAAGGACTTGATGTTGCATTTTTAGCAGATACATTTGAAATCTCAACAAGTCAAGTGTCCAGAATTTACAACACTTGGATAATATTCTTGTCAAATGAGTTGTCTTTCCTTGTACCATGGCCAAGTAGGGTAGAAATTCAAGAGAAACTTCCAAAACGATTCAAAAGATTTAAGAACTTAAGAATCATAATTGATTGTGCTGAATTCTTCATTCAAAAGCCAAAAATTCTAGAGAGCCAAAAAATAACCTGGAGTAGTTACAAGCACTGGAACACTGCTAAGCTTCTTATTGGTATCACACCAACTGGTGTTATTTCCTTCATTCCTCCTCTGTGGACAGGGTCAGTATCAGACAAAGAGATCGTCAAAACTCTGGTTTGGTTAACCTACTAGAGGAAGGTGATGCTGTCATGGCTGACAAAGGATTTTTGGTACGAGATTTACTGCTAATGAAGAAAGTCAAACTGATTTCCCCAGCATATTGTCGTGGGCCTAGGCTCTCTTCTCGAGGAACAACCCACACTCGAAGAGTAGCTTCCTTGAGATCTCATGTTGAACGGATGATATTAAGATTGAAACAATTTAGAATTTTATCTGGAGTTATTCCATCAACCATGAAGCCTGCATTAGACAACATTTTGTTCTTATGCGCTGCTTTATGTAATTTGAATAAACAACCAATAAAATGACATTTACTTAGATTATATGGGGATTAAGATGAATTTTACTAGGGGTAAACCAAGGAGCTTAACAATGAGGTTAATCCATATGGCATGATGCCAAAGACAGTCTGATGATGTAATCATGGCATACAAATATTTCTATGTTCATTCACATTGAAAACAATGAAAAATTATAGTTATTTAAACTTGGTATATCATGACAAAACAGACTCGTCAGTCTGGCTTTGCCATTGTGTACATGTGTACTATATTATTATATCACTATATCAAGAACTCCAATAAACTAGTAGAGTTTTAATAGAAGGTTTTTTACAATTTGATTTGTGTAAAATAATGAAACTACACTCAAGACAGTTCTCCAAAAGTCTTTTTCAAAAGACATCAAAGTAAATTTCTACCACTTCAATTCCTTTAGATGTATAAACAATAAAATCACAAACAGGCATATGAGCTAATGCCATGCTCATCTGAACCTGAAAGTAATAACTGTGGTTCCTAGAAAGTTCTTGCTTGCCACTGTTGTTTACAATGCCACCAATTTCTTTAGTAAGAAAAGCTGACTTTGGATCCAATTGTCTATGTTTATATGGGCATTTAATTTCTATTGTTCTTGATCCACAACATTTACAAATTCGAATGCCATCAAGACTTGCCCCCAACCATGCATTTGAAGTGTCCACTAATAGCCCAGTCTCTTGAATTTGTAGGTTTTTGTGCCTTCTTTTGCAAAATTTACTATACAAAAAGAGTGCTTCTTTCTCATAATCATGTCCATATTGAGTAGCCTGAGTTTCAACATGGATTGGATTTTCTTGCAAGAAGTTGTTTATTGTTACTCCGGCGCCAGCGACGGAGTTGAAAATTTGCCCGGTTTTGTTTTGTTTGTTTTTTTTTATTTTTCGTCGTCGCAAGTCTGAAATGGCGCGAAATATACTAGTATTTAAAACGTGTATGTGACTGTATTTACCTACGTCCCAGTCTTATCTCCCAAGAGTTGTGGTGCACAGCTTTGGCTAATTTTCCGATGCGCGATTCGATTTCGCTCGCATGATACGGCAATTCCTCCAAGAGGAACAAATAAACCGTTCTTTTCATGCTTTTCGATTAAGTTTAGATTAAATTGGGGTAAGAATATATTGAATACATGTAGATTCTGGTCCTATTTTAATAATATCGCTGCTATTTCGCCGTTTAACAAGATGAAGTGGTTGTGTATGGGCGCGTTGACACGTCGAAGTTTGCACAGGATTGAAGATATAATATATAAGCGCGAATGCCAAAGGCAAAGTGTAAGACAAAGCGAATGTATCATGCGGTTTATTTACATTTTTTAACAATTGAAATTCTATACTTTTTAAAGTACGATGTGCTTTTGAATTTCGCGATCGAACATTTAGGCTCACAAGGCATCTAAATGCGAATATGAACTGTATTGTTTATGTTCAGAAGCTCTATATTAAAGACTGGCACGTGCGCCGGAGTTAACGCCAGAACAGGCGTCTTGTTTTACTAATGTCAGTGGAAGGGTTGCGTTCAATGGTTTTTTTGTCTTGTATAAAGACCTTTTACTTTCGTACCAGTTACCATAAGATCCCTTACGAAAAAGTCCTATAAGAATTTCTATAAAAATTCGTATAGGAATTCATATAGAATATCTTATAAGATTTCTTATAGAAATTTTTAAAGGATTTTCAGACTTTTCTTATAGGATTACCCATAAGAATTCCTTTAGGAATTCCAGTAGGATTTCCAAAAGGATTCTTTAGGATTTCCCAAAGATCCTTTAGGAAATCCTATAGGAATTCCTATAGGATCCTTTTGGATATTATATAGGAATTCCTATAGGATCCTTCTGGATATCATATAGGAATTCCTATAGGATCCTTTGGGATATCATATAGGAATTCCTATAGGATACTATAAGAATTACTATAGGAATTCCTATATGATATCCAAAAGGATCCTATAAGAATTCCTAAGGGATATCCAAAAGGATCCTGTAGGAATTCCAATATTTCAGGATTTCATACATTAAACATATTATTGAACAAATAACAAAACATATATTAACTTTCTGTAACAAATAATGAAGCAAAACTGAGGAAAGAGGAAGACTATAGCTAGTGAAATCCCAACATTAGCTCTTTTCGAAATAATGAACGGAAAACAGAATAAAAACAAAGATAATAGTCAAGTCATTTTCCAACTAATTTATTTTGCTATAGATGTGCTATCTGTCTATAATTACTCCGGCGTCAGCGACGGAGTTGAAAATTCGCCTCTGTTTTTTTTTTTTTTTTTTTTAATTTTTTTATTTTTTTTTTTTTATTATTTTTCGTCGTCGCAAGTCTGTAATGGCGCGAAACATTCTAGTATTTAAAATGTGTATGTGATTGGATTTATCTATGTCCCAGTCTTATCTCCCAAGAGTTGTGGTGTACAGCTTTGGCTAATTTTCCGATGCGCGATTCGATTTCGCTCGCATGATACGGCAATTCCTCCAAGAGGAACAAATAAACCGTTCTTTTCATGCTTTTCGATTAAGTTTAGACTGAATTGGGGTAAGAATATATTTAATACGTGTATATAGATTCTGGTCCTATTTTAGTAATATCGCTGCTATTTCGCTGTTTAACAAGATGATGTGGTCGTGTATGGGCGCTTTGACTCGTCGTAGTTTGCACAGGATTGAAGATTTAATATAACTATATAAGCGCGAATTCCAAAGGCAAAGTGTAAGACAAAGCGAATGTATCATACCATTTATTTACATTCTTGAACGATTTAACTTTTATACTTTTTAAAGTACGATGTGCTTCTGAATTTTGCGATCGAACATTTAGGTTCGCAAGGCATCTAAATGCGAATATGAACTGTATTGTTCAGAAGCTCTATATTGAAAACTGGCACGTGCGCCGGAGTTAACGCCAGAACAGGCGTCTTGTTTAATAAATAAATCATACAATAAATATGTGTTAAAATATTGCAGTTCTATAAAAAGAGTGCAAATTAAACATTAATTAATATGCAGAAGCTTCTGTGCGTCGATTTGCATACAGGAAATTCAAAACAACTTTAAATGTTTTTGTGCAATAAATTGACTGCACTTGTCTAGTATTTCTAAAAAAATTAAACACCGATATGACAACTATAAAATGTCACAGGAAGTATATGTCACAGAAAGTTATTTTTCAGATTTGGCTGAGCACTTAACTATATTGTTAATTTTCGATGCACAAAACTGTTTAACTTCTTTTGGGGTCAATCCAAATTTTTGTGCCACATAATCTGAAAATAACCAAAGAAACAAAAATAAGAACAGAAAAATTTAGCTTACACAGGTGATATTTAGTTACATTAATTGGTGACAATCAAATGCTATAAGTAAGGCATATACAAACTCCTTTGCAGAATGCTTGGACTTCAAAATTTTCAGTTGCCCTGGAGTTACTGCAATGCCAGAACAAAGTTTAACCTGTAAACCACAAACAAAATAAATTGCAATCTACCAAGTTTCTTACTTATTTGTAAGTGGAACCTGTTAAGGGTTTCAGTCCATGTAGGCTGAGCCTTAACAGGCTCTACTTACAATTCATTTACAAATGCAACAAAGATTAGTTCTTAATGCTTTTAGAAGTTGGTTTTTAGTGAGGGAGGAAAACCAGGGTATACAAAAAAAAACCCTCAAAGAAGGAGAGAACCAACAAAACTCTACTTACATAAGCACCACTGAGACACCCTCACCGAGGTAACTACAGTGTTCAGACCTGCAGTAACAGATTTAACTCAGTAGTATGAAGCAGTGCACTATAAGCCACTTGGGCACCCTGTGACCACAATGCTGCACAGCATTCAACTGACTCACATAGGTTGATCCAGTTCACAATTATGCAATACACATACATGCAGTATTGTACTTTAAAACATCACTTACACTGTCAATATCACTTTCAGAACTGGCTTCCCCTAATTCTTCTTTCGGGATGACATGTGACAAGGGGTGTTCTCGCTGACCATGGTCTTTTTCCGGTTTTTCAAATAACTTTATAGAATCCACCTTTGCCTTGCACCTACACGGAGCTGAAGCCAGTTTCTTCATAAGTAGGACTGAATCCTTAAGTTTCTGCACCGTATCCTGTATATTTTGTAAGTCTTTCACAATCACAAAAAGAAAATATTATACATACAGTAAAAGGTGATAGAAAAAACCTTCCATGAGAGTACATGTAGCTGCAGTAGAAACAGCTGTAGTCAAACCGGATGTTCCTTTGCGGGGAACATTGCAATATTGTCCTTGAATATTGCAATTTTGAAAGGCAGATTTCTCTGAGCAATTAAATACAACCAATGCAAACAAATTGCAAATTAAAATTCACAAAAGATTTGTAAACAGAGCCTCTGGTCAGACTATTTGCAAAAAGGTAGGCAATCAAATAGTATGAGCAACTGCAACATACAAGTACTGTAACATAATTCAATTGCAGTCACTAGGCTAGCATCAGCACTTTAAATTTACATAATGTTAGGAGAGTACCATTCTGACTGATTCATCTATTAATTTCTGTGTATATTAGAAAATGCAAATTTTGCCAATTACATAGTTCCAATAGGGCTGTGGTGAATAGGGCTGTGGTGAATAGTAGCATTGTAATTACCTTTCATTTTTTGCATTTCTTTTTTTAATGCCTTGATTTCATGGTCTTTAGCAACAAGTTGCTTTCTCAAGACTTTGCAGTTTTCTTTGTCAGATTCATCTAAACTTTCACTTTCTTCAGAATCATGTTCATTCTAATGTTTTAACAAAATAGAAAGATGCAATTAGTGTTCCTAGTAAAGCACCAGTAGCTTGTT